CACTAATATGATTTTAGAAGAAAAAAGATACATTTATAGGTACTTACATATTGTACCATCAACTAATATCGCCACCATTATTATGTTTGAATGTGCAAGGGTATGTTTTCCACTATAAGCTGTAAATTGCAGAATTTCGGTAAAATCTCTTTATTTGATGAAATTGGTCCATTGTATAATACATAAACACCTATTTAAATAATAATAATCAGAAACTTCCAATATGTCTTACAGAAAGAATTCTTCATGGTTTTCTGTATGACTTAAATAAATTCAAAAGTGAAAAAATGAAATTAAAGATAAAAATTCGATAAAATATAAATTGAAGTGCAAAAGAATTATAAGCAAAATTAATTATTTTAAATATTTAAATAGACATTTTTGTGATTATTAAACTTATACCAACTGACAATTTTTCAAAAAAAAAAAAAAAATCCAGAGCAGGAAGTATTTTAAAAATCCTATAAAAAAAATTTCTGTTGGAAAAAAAACTCAAAAGAACATTTTTGTTTTTACGTTGTGATTAATAATATGATGGTATCGAATATTTTTATTTTACTATATTATTACTTTTTTTTATTTTATTTTACATTAATAACTAAAGAAAAAAAAGAATAAGGGGTTCAATTTTATTTTATAAACATCTTTATTTATCGCCACCTTTGCAAATTACCTTCATATTAAATTGAAGTCCAGGTACTTACGTATTAGCGTCACCGCAGAAAAATTGGCGGCTTGCGAATCATCTTGATATCAAAACAACAAAGATACTAACGTGTTTTATATGAAAAAAATACCAGTCAGATTCGAGTGGCACCAATTGGGCTGCGAGGACGCTTATTCGTAATTCACGAAGTCCAATACAGAAAAATGAGCTACTGGCACTATTTGTTTTTCTATGCCAAAGATGTGGGCTAATGTAGGATTTACAGTCCACTTAATATGACAAATAAATAATGACGTAAAAAATAGATTCAATATTATGAGACACAAAAATCATACCTCCTTGGAAGAGAATCCTTCCATGAGCTTTTATAAACTAATAGTCAAGATGGCTATTTTTAATCTTTATATGAAGCACACTATAACAATATTTTCGCTTACTTACATCTCTGTTTACATTTCCATAAAACTGAAAAGGAACTTCACGAAAATTAGTAACATACCGGCAACAATAAACATTATCAATGGTTGCCAATTCTTACTTTCAAGTGAATTAGATAAAAGGAACCGTTAAGTGCAGACATGTAATATTTAATTTTTTAATGGCAACGATGCAACCAGAATGGTTCAAACAGATACAAAAGAAACAGTTTAGTTTGAAAAGGAAATGCTTAATTTTCAGAATGGCAACAAAATCTAAAATATATGAAGTTCCTTTTATCTGATGAGCTCCAAACACAATCTATTCGTTCATGCGCCTCCCTGTTGCCATTCTTGCTTTTTTACCGAAATTTTCTCTTCAAATGTACATACTTATTAACAAAAATTACTTGTGTAATAAAAGTTTTTTTTTTTAAAAAAAACCCTTTGCGAATTTTTATTGCTTCGGTATCCTTATTCATTCATCAAACATAAATCTGATTTTTCAAATGAAAAGTATCAATCTAATCTGAGATTTGAATACAATGGAAAACACATAATTAAATTTTTCTTGTCACCATCATAAATTTAGCCTTTTGTATTTCTGACACTTTTTTCTGTAGCGGAAGAATAAAAATTCTATGGCTCTTATTTACAACCTTCATATACTTCATGCCTTTTGAATAGGATTCCTATATTTGAATGTGATTCGCTCCATTTAGTGATCTTGGCGTATTTCGTTAACCTTTACACCCGAAAGATAGGTGTGATATATGTGTGTGTTCCTTGCTTTTTCGCCAATAGCCCTCATCTAGCAAGTGCAACTCTATTAAGCAATCAATCAATCATACAACATAAACGTAAACTATTGCGGTTGATTGATGTAATCGAAAACAGTGGTTTTGATTTTGATCAAAAGATAAAACTTTACAAAATTTGTGTGAGATGTTTGCTTCAACATACGGATTAGTTTGAAGAAGTTTACATTTAGTTGAAAATATTTGATTGGTTATAAGTAATTTTGAGACCATCTTGTTTCTAAATAATTAATTCCTTTCGCAGAAATTTCATATGTATTTCCAAATCAAGAATTATTAATTACAATTATTATTTTTATCATTGTATTGAACTTGTAAACTTTCAGCTGAAGTATTATAATTGATCTTAACTTTATTTTAATTTCTGTGATAATGTAAAAAAAAAAAATGTTCCCCTTCCCTTGCATGAGTATGATGTCAAACGCGAGAACGATTTAAAAATACCAGATTAAAAATATTACTCAGAAAATCATGAATTTGCTTAGGTCCAAACATTCTTAAATGTTTCAAATACAATTAGTTAGAAGTAGGAAATCATTTAAATTCAACCTTTCTTAACTTTACTTTTTAATATTTGTATAATTTGATTTAATTTGTTATATTTTATTAATATGATGGGGAAAAAAACTTTGAAATGTGTATCATATTACATATTTTGATATCACATCTTTTTACCCGAAATCTTAATTTTTAAAAACATTAAAATGAGTTTATTTTTCAACTTTTATATAAATTGGATGTTTTTAAGTGAAATTGAGTAAGGTAAAGTTTTCAGTGTCAATTGATAATTTTTTTTAGTAACTTCTAAAATAGTTCATCTGACTATCTTTATGTATCAATAACTGCTCAAATAAGTAATATATAAAAATCAAATTCATGTACCAGAGGTGTACACAGATTACTTCTATGTAAATGATTATTTGCATTTTAAACAGCACATAAATTTAAACACCAAAGCATTATGGTTTTGCTAAAAATTAAAAACTTTTGAATGAATGGGGATGGATGGATTAATCATTAAATCGCACTCTTGTATATGTACTGATTTTAAGTGTGTAAATTAAAGACAAATGGAACTAATATGATATATATGATATTTGATCTTCTCCATATGCCATTTTCCTGAATTCCTCCAAAAATAAGTCTTAAAATCTTCCTTTCATAGATACTCTTTGTGTTCTCATCTGTTTGACACTTGGACCAAGTTTCACATGCTTAAGTTAATACTGATCTGAAAAAACTTATACAGTAGAACCTTTGTTTTTCTTTTAATTGAATTTCATTTTATATATTTTCATATTCCAGTAAGGTATCTATTAGCCATAGTAATACTCTTTTGGATTTCATTAGTATGAATGTATTTATTTATTATTTATGTATCCAACACCCATGCTTAGTTTCTTGACCATTTGACATCAAGCCTCCCAATAGGTCAGTTGGGTGTTCATCGAGTCCAATGCATTGGAGCAGGTGGTTGCCATCCAATCCAGCAGGGCAATAGAGAGGGCAGGTCTCGTCAACAGCCAGGCCAAGCCAGCGGAGGTATATCCCCAAAAGTCATGTCTGGTGGTTAGACAAAAGTAGGCAACAGCTTTGGCTCTCTCCAGGTGCCTCGGGATAGGACCCACAGTGGCCAGATTTCCCATGGCTTTCCAAAGCTCTTGGTTTTTTGGGTCACGGCAGTACATTTGTCAATGTATATGGATATAATTGCTCTTCTGAGAATCAAGGGGACTTCTGGTTTATTTGGATTGGCTGCCTGCCGGGCTTTTTGGTTGACCCTCTCATTGCCAGGGATCCCAACATGACTTGGCCTTTTTAAGATAGTCAAAAAGGGTTCAGAACAATTTGGATTCTGGGTATTTAGATTTTATACCACATCAACTAATTTTGCCTAACATAAAGACATTGTCAATTCAAAAAATGTTGCCGATTGCTGCTGATGTTGTTATTACTGTGTTTAAACATGCACAAGAATAATTTCCACTTTTGGCTGTATAATGGCATTTGACTACATCTTTTGATTATGAATTGTTATTTATGTATATATTTTACCATATGTACTCCATAACTTATAAATTGATTTGATTCTTACACATGTGTTCCATGCTGCTATATATTTTTCTTGATGAATTCAAGTTGGGCTAGATTTATAAGCTTTGCATCCATAAGCAAGGGGAAAAAAACTATCCCTGTCATACCCATCACTGTAAACACCTTTGTCCAAATTTACTTATTACTGCTACAGCTTGATTGCCAAATAATTCTAAATTCAGATGATTCAGTTTCTCCAACTGAAATATCTTTTTTAGTTTTAGTCGAGATTTCATTGGCATATATAAGGATGGGGTTAATGGAATTCAAACCCTCCTCCCCTCTTTAAAGACCAACAGATTTTTAATTTTTACCATAGTGCTTACCCCATGGTGCTTTCCTCTATGAGTTTTGTAGATTGTAAGCCCCTTCTCCATTAGAGAGGTATGTGTATGCTACTGCTAGTTTTGTATAATTTTTTCAATTTATTGTGTTTCTAATTTATTGAATAGTGTGGGCCTGTATAATTTAACACCACTTTCTATATTTCATAACAATTTGATTAGGAATGTAATATGAAGGCATCATTTTCATTGCTATTATTACTTTTTATTGAACTTATTTTAATTTGTTACACATTTGGTCTTTTGAATTCATTCATAATAAGTTTTTATCATTCTTAACTTTCTTTCTTTGAACAAATTGCTGTATTTTCTTACAGTTGTTCTAATTTGATATTCATTCTTTACACTTTTAAGGCATTCTTAAATATATTTAACTCTTGAATCCTTTTTAATTAGGGCAATTAATGGAAGGAACTCTCTAGCTAAGCTTAAAAAAACAACTACTGTAATTTTGTAATTTAGCAAACACAAATAAAATCAGACAATGAATTCTTTAACAAACAACTTAGCAAGCACAAAGGATAATGTAAAATATTTTTTTTAAAAAAAAAATGTGCTTTTTTTTAAAATTAAAAAGGATGTTACTTTAAAATAATGAATAACAATGAACAATAGAAAATGTGTGATTTATTCTGCATTTTAATTTGTCATGCTTACCTTGACAGTGGTAGCCTAGTGGTCATGGTCACTAGCTTGTGGCCAGATTGTTGCAGGTTCAAGTCCTGATGCCACTGAAGATCTTCCATGTAGAGGGGGCTGATGCACAAATTAAATCTGTCTAGGCTAAATGTCTCCCATTGGTGGGGTGTGGTAGTTAGGAGAAGGAGGTACAGCTGAAGCATCCTCCTCAACGCTTGACCAAGGTTCAAAATTACAAGGTCCATCGCCAATAGCTCTCATGTTGCTTTTTAATGCAACATAAATATAACTCTCACTCTCACTTGTTAAACTTACCAAAATAAACAGTTTGTCTGAAGGAAATCTCCAAATTATGAGGCTCCCTCTTCACTCTAGCCATGAAAATTTTATACTTAATTTTAATAACACTTTAATAAACCTTTATATTTAAGAGACACAGTTTTATATATTTATAAGAAACCTGATAATTTCAGATCATTCAGTTCAAGCATGTTGAGTGAATTAAATGAAGTCACTGATCACCTTTTTATTGCAAGTGCAAGATCTGTTACTGATGCTGCCATTCAAGAGAAAGGAATAACTTGTGTTATAAATTGTAGTATGACTACTCCAACCTATTCCACAAGCAACATAAAATACATTCCAATAATGGTAAAGTATACAAACTTATTGTTTTCATTATAGATTTAAAACAAAACTCTAATTATATTTTTTGTGTTTGGTTATTTCATATATAGATTTGTATGTATTTAAAATAATTGATCCATTACTTTTTAATAATTAAAATTATAAAAATAAAAGTATTTTCTTGTTTTTTAGTCAGGACTATTTAGCAAAGAATTTATTAAAATTTAAGTATTTTGATTAATTGTTATTAATTCTTTATACGTATACAGAAATGCAACTAATTTTATTTTTACTCGATACATACATTCCTGAAGAATAGGTATAAAAAAAGTTTGTGTGTGAAAATGTATTGCATTTGTGGAAAAATAGAAGATTGGTTTCAATTCTAAGAAATATGCAAAAATAATACAACAAATTATTAGTTTTGACATTGGGATCTTAAGCATTTTTTTCCCTTAAAGATTGTACTTGTATCATTCAGAGTAAATTATCATTTGAAGAAGTGTGTGTGTGGGGGGGGACCATGTCACTAATTCATGAAGATAAAAATTAGTCAAAATGATATAAATTTTACATAAGATTTTATTCACTGTCCCTTTCTGTCCTTTTCCTTTTATATTTATCTAAGACTGTAATACTCTAGAAATGTCTTGATTATTTTCTTATTCTATTAATGATATTCTTTGTGTAATCTCTTGAACAAAATTAGGATTACTATTCTGGGTTGCAGGTTTCTGTGGACTCTAGAACAAATTCAGTAGTTAAATCATTTTTTTTTCCTTCTGTATTTTGAGTAGAACATTGTATAATTATTCCAGTATTTGGTATCATGTTCACAAAGCAATTAAAATTCCATATTGAGATTATGAAATTCAGGGAATTCTGACTAATGGAAATTGCATTATATTCCTCCTCTCTAATGTTATCATAAAAGTAAAAATAAAGCAAAATTTTCCTCTTAGAATTCGTGGCAATTGTGTTTAATCTAAATAAGTTATATAAAAAAGTTTGTTAAAACAGAATAAGGTGTATATATGTGTGTATGGATGTAAATAAAAATGTTACTTATTTTTGTCTTTTTTTTAGAAATGAAAATATAAGTGTTAGATTTCTTCTATATTGCTCTATTAAAAATTTATCCAGATCTCTGGTGATCAACCAGTGGTCCATGAAAAGTTTTTGATGGTTTGTAGAAAAATTGAGACATTACACTAAAAATAGTGTAACACTTAAATTTTAATTTTTTAAATAATTGTTTTTACTTTGTAACCTCTTTAATGAGTACATTTCACATTAATAAAATAAAAGTTTTCTGATTATTATTATTTAAATATATTTATCTTTTTTTTTCTTAATTCATATTAATGGTCCATTAAATAGAACATTATATATTTTAGTGGTCCATGAAATTTTAAATGTTACCAACTGCCGATATCTAAATAATTAATCTTTGAATGTGTTAGTTTTCTCTGGTTATTCATTGGTTGGTCTTTAATAAATCAATAAAAAGATTTTTTTGTCATTTCTTATTTGTGAAAACAACTTCTTTTAAACTTATATAATTTTAGGTTGAGCTAAAAAAAAAACTAAGCTAAAGCTGACATTTTTGAAAAGCTTGTTGGGGCTGAGTTGTTGACTTTTTAATTTTGATACATTAGATCTGCATCACATTTAATTTAAATCCTTTAAAATAATACGTCAAGCAGGTATCTCTGATATCACACAAGGCTTGTGTAGATTTGATAGTGTAAAAAAATATTTATAAGCATTGCAAGAAACTCTAAAAATGAAATATTTTTAAAGGATGTGATTAAAAGAAAAGAAATAGCAAGTGAATAATTTTATAAATAAGTAATAAAAATTTTGGCTACTAGTAGTAAGTATTTTCAGCATTCCAGCATATCACAACCTTCATCTTAAGAATTTGATTGCAAATGACTGTAAAATGTCTATGGAGATGGTTCTATGTAATTAAAAAACTTCTTTTAAGGTAATAAGAAACTGAACATTTTCTATTTTGTATTCTGAAAATATTGTTACTTTAATAAGAATATTAAATACTTTGCTTTCTATATTATAACGTTTTTGTTTTTTTTAAAAAAATTCTTACTTTTACGAATATACTAGGTTGAAGATAATGAAAAATCTGACATTAGGCGTTACTTTGAAGAAGTTTTGAATATAATAAAAGAAGAATATGAAGAAGGTGGAAAAACTCTTGTATATTGTGTTGCAGGTATTAGTCGCTCTGCAACATTATGTATAGGTAAGTTGTGGTCACACTTTCCAAAGAAATATTTTTTGTTATATATTCTTTGCTTATTCCTTCATATAAAACTGCTTTTAAAACTAAAAACATTCAGATGACACATGTGACATAAGTCATGAATTATCATATATTACTGAGATATATTATTTTATATAATTTCTGGTGTTTGGGTAAGGTATCAAGCTATTATTTCTTGTTTCTGCAAAAATACATCTTTTTATCATTTGTCATAGTTTGTACAAATACCATTAATGACCACTATAGGTTTGTACTTTGCTTAGAGAGAATTTAGAAAACTGACAGGAATGCATTTTATATAGGTACAATTTTAATTCTAGAAAAGTTTTAGGGAGGTTTTTACTCAGTTTGTTCTTTGGATCTTACTTAACATTTCTTATTCAATTTATATATTAACCCTTAAATACTGATTTATTAGAAAAATGTCTTGCAAATGGAATGGATTTCGTTGCTGATGTTCAGAATAGAACAAATAGCCATTTTCCTCCACTATGGTTAACAATTATTAACTGTTTGTTTGTGAATTTCATGAAATGTTGAAAAAACCCATGAAAGTCACAATGTTGTGCAAAGGAAGAGTGGAAATTGACTTCTGCACTTACAAAGCATTATCTCTAAATGTACAATTCATATGCATGTTTATGCTATCAATGCTAAAAATTTGCCCTTTGTTTACAGGTTTGTTGCCTTTAATTGAGTGCTTATTGAGAAATTCAACTAGATATACAAATTTCTCTTAATTTTGAACATCAGTTTATGTTCCACAGCTCTGTACCTTACATTTTTATCAAGCACAGGTTTAAATGTATATCTGAAAGCAAAAACTTGAGTATTTTGTGATAAATTACATTAATTTTAAAGATGCAATGTGTTACATAATTGATTGTGTGAGGGAATGTGTTATATAACTGAATGAATTAATATTAATTTTAGGACATTTTTGTCTAAGTTCCAGATTTAATGTCTTTTTTTTGTAACACTATGCAAAGACAACCTAGGATTTTTAATCTTTATGTGTTTTAATGACAGAAGTTTGGCTAAATAAGTAAATTCTCCTAATTTTTATTAAATATTTTCATTTATGTTGCATATTGTACATTTATTTCCTAAATGATCTTTAGAAAGTTATATATTTTAGCTAAAAAAGCATTTACAGGTTATAACTTCTTCTGAGCCAGTATTATGAATACGAAAATAACGTTAATTTTTAAGAACAAAATATTTTTTTAATTGAATTTGCTTAAAAATTAGATTTGTTTTTAGATAATTGACCTTTTAAAAAATACTTTTTAATAATTATGCTATCTATAGTGAAATATTTCAATCTAAGAGATTGATAAAAAAAATAATTATTTTAAAATTGAAGTCCAGTTTGTTATTATTTAAAAGATTAAATTATTTATAAGTTTCTTCACAGTATATTGCAGTGCAATTGATAAGCAATTTGAAACATTGTCTGTAAAGTAATAAACTCTATTTTAAAAGGCAGTGTTTTAAGTTGTTTATATATTTCATAAAATCTTTTCAAAAAATGAAATATTAAACTAAAGAATGAAAGATAGATACAAAAGAAGCTATTGAAATAAATCGAAACTTCAGAAAAAAACAAAATGTTAAACTGTCATGTAAAAGGGGGCTTAAAATTTTTTTATGCAAAATCTGAAGAATGCAGTTGTATGAATATTTAGGATTGCAGGTTAGAATTTTAAAGATGAATGTAGAATGTTATTTCAGCATAAAAATTTATGCTAAAATTTAAACCGATGTGTTATTATTTTGCTTTACAATTTAAAGTATTTAAACCGTTGGTAAGGATAGTTTGTTGATGTTATTCAGCTCTTCTGCAAGTAGAAAACAAAAGCTAATTTTTTAGCTTATGATCCAAATAAGTATTGGGGGCATTTTTATTCTGTTTAATTTTTTGAGTAAATTGAAATGCACATTTTATGTCTTGAAAGAATTATAACAAATATATCTGTATTTCTATTTTTAATTATTTTATTATGTCATTTTCTGGTACACAATTGCATTGAATTAACAGTAAATTTATTTTTTGAATAATTAGATGCACTTTTAAATTGACATATCCAAATTTAAAAAATAATCTTTAGAGATTAATTTTTTAATCTTTATTTGTATTAGTTCTTTTTGTCTTTTATCTTAAGAATCTACTTTTTTTTAGC